CAGTGAGTTCATTGTAGTTTCTCTGTAGTTTCTGGCAACTCATTGTGAGCTCATTGAACTTTCTGATAATCAGTGCTTTGAATTCAATATCTGATATCTGACTTGCCTCTATTTCATTTAGCATTCTTTCTGAGGCTTCCTCCTTTCCTTTCATTTGGGAATCGTTTCTTTGTCTTCTCATTGTTTGTGAGACTTTTCTTGTTAGCTTCAGCTTCTAAATTGATTTGTTCTTGCTTCCTGTGTTTATGGTGTGAACTTCTATGGTAGAATACCTTTGAGATTCAGTGGTGTAGTCTCCTTGATCTCCTGAGCTCACTGGTCTTGGGCTGTCCTTTAAGTTGGCTCTGTGTTTGTGTTTATGTTTTGATTATTTTGGGGTCTTTCTTTGGTGGGTGATTCCCACCAGCTGCTTAACTGAGGGTATCTCTCTCTACCACCTGTTTTAATTTGTTGTGCTGGTGAGGGAAGGTTGTTTTGAAGCTAATTCCTCAGTGTGTGCAAGGATTTTAGGATTCTCTTTTGCTCTTGTTCAGTTGTTTGTACTGGTTAGTTTCTCCCTCATTTAGTTGTATTTGCAGATAGGTCCTGGATTGAGGTTTGTGTGGTTTCCACTTTTTCCTTCACCTTCTTCTGTTGTTATCTGTTGATGGTTCCTTTGTTGTTGAATTTCCTCTTCCAATGGCTATTCTGGTGTTTGCCACTTCCACCTACTCTTTTTTTTTCGTAATCCGTTGGTGGGGAAGGCAAAATGGTGTAAGACAGCAGGAGAGTATTCTATGATATTTACAGTAGCAGCCAGTAGAGGACAGGAGATCCTTTAGCTATGTATAGTGTTAACCGTGATCTTCCACCCAACTAGCTATTTTTAAGAAAGGATGGAAAGAAGAATTTTGTTGGAGAGGGAAGGATTGTGAGTTGGATCTAGAAAGCAGTGAGGTTGTAGAAAGTCATATACTGCGGTAAGGTGAGAGTAATGGATAGTAAATAGGTGTAGTGTGTGAGAGAATAGAGTTAACCAATGCTGTGATAGAGTTCAGGAAACTGAGAAGTGGGCTAAGATCTGGGAGGGGTGTTGTGAAGTATTTACAATTGTATGGAACAGTTATTATTTACAATCACATTAGCGCAACAATCATATGACAGAATCTATGTGACCTGGATGACATGAATAGGGGGGATAGATCTTTGAGTAGAGTTCTAAAGAAACACAAGTGACATGAAGGATAATAAATTAGCAATATACTGTGGAAGAGAGAACAGGGGAAACCTGTCAAATGATCAAATATAACAAGGCAAGCTTAGAAGACTATAAAGAAAGAAAAGGTGTGCAAAAATACTATTAAAATAAAAGGTGTAAGAATAATGAAAAATAACAATATATATGTGCAGTAACTTATAGTTTCTCTGCAATAGCAAAGTGAAATTTGTCTCACTGTCTCAACTGTTGGGATGCCCGATCTTTGGGTCCAAGTCTCGTCCTTTCACAGTTCCAAGTTTTTTGTCTCACTTGTGGGTATTTAAAAAAAGGCATGAGAAAAGAGAAAGAAGAGATAAAATAGTGGAGAAAGGAAGAAGGAATACAACAAGAAAGAAAGAGGGGGAAAGGTATTGAAAGATAAAACAATAATAAAAATTTAAAAAATAAAAGATTACTTAGAAAAACAAAACAAAATAAAACAAAACAAATCTCTTTTTGGTTTCAAAGTGGTCAAACCTGTTTTTCTGGTCTTCCTGGCTGCAGCAGGCTGAGGGGTGATTGGTGTGGCATTTCTCCCTTCCTGATGTGTACTCAGCCAGTGTTGCAAGCACTCTCCAAAGAGCTAGTCTGGTGACTCTCCCCAGCACCTTTGGTGGGTGATCCAGATCTTCTTCAGAGCACTCTTTCCCCAAGGTTTTTGCTGTAGGCTGGGGTGCAGGCGTGCATGCTAGGCCATGCTGCTTGGGTCCTGCCGGTTTGGGTGCAAACCCTTCCCAGTGCTATGGGAAGGCCCTGCCTTCCCCCAACCTTGGGAACTGATGCTCGACTGGGTGGGGAGTAGGCCCAGCAGCTGTCTCAGGAGAATCCCCCAAACAGTTTTACTTTTTGAGAAATTCCTCCTACTCAAGCCTGCCACTCAGTACAGCCCAATTCTCCTGCCTCACCCATGACTATTGGGGTCAGTGCGCATCACTGAGCAACTCCAAAGCTGGTGACCACATACTCTGCAGGTGATCATGACCCCTGTGTGTTTGCCTCCTTGTCCTTATTCCCCTCTCTACAAATTCAAGCAACCAGGTCTCTCCTGATGCTGCTCTAACCCTGTTTGGCAGGGGAGAAGGAGAGCAGTTGACTTGCCTCTCTCCCAAGGACTCTGTGGCAGTCTCCTGGCTCCCAAAGATTTTGTGATAAACCCAGCACCAGGCACCTGGCACCTGGCCTGGGGCTACAGCTGCCCTGTTCCCCTGGGTGTCTTTAGCCCCACTACAGTTTTTGGTCTCTTATTTTCATATATGCTGGGGTACAGTTTACTGTTTGCTCTGTTCCTCCGTAGATTGGCCAGGTTTTTCTCCTGTGTGTAGGGGGAAGTGGAATCTGCTCCCTCCTACTCTGTCACCAGCTTCCAAATCCCTTCTATCTTTATAACTTTGACCTGGAAATAATTTCTTGAGTAATTTACAAAAAGAGCCAAGAATAAAAGAAAAAGTATAATAAGTTGAACTACATCAAAATAATTGTTTCTCTTCATAAGAGACATTTTAAAGAAAGATAAGCCATAATTTACACACCAGGGGGAAATAATTGTAACAGATAACTAACAAAGGATTTCAACCAAAACTTAACACAATGCTTCAAATACACAGAGAAAGAAAAATACTTAAAAATGAGCAAAAGTTGTGATTAGGCTTTTCACAGAAAAAATAACACAGCTTCTGTTAATATTCTCTCAACTTCATTAGTAATCAGATCAACAAAAATGAAAACTACCATGTTATCCTAATGACCCCTATTCAACTTACAAACACTAAAAATTCTAACAATAGCAGATATGACAAAAGGTGAGTCAATCATTCTACTATACATTGTTGGTGGGACTGTAAATAGGCACAAACGTTTTGAGAAACAAATTATTATTATCTTGTAAAGTTAAATTTTATATACTCCACAACCAAGAAATTATTCCTTGAGAATGTACATGTGTGTGGGTAAGTTTGTGTCCATGGAGACACGCATCGATAGGCACATACCACAACATTTTTAGCAATATTTTAGTTATTTGTAATCTGAACACAACTCCAATACCCACTGACAAAAAAATGGATAAATTAATTGTGATTTATTTCCACAAAAGAAAGCTTGTGCATACCATCAAAATTGAATAAACTATAGCCCATATTAGAGTTTGAATGAAACTTGGAAACATTTATATTGAAACAAAAAAGCGAGTTTCAGAAGATTGCATACAGCATGATATTTATTTTAATTTTTATAAATTTCAAAAAATATCAAACACAATATGTGTGTGTTGAAAATCAAAGAAATAATAAGTACAAATTTTACAGTGGTGTTTACTGGAGATGAAACTTGGAAACATTTATATTGAAACAAAAAAGCGAGTTTCAGAAGATTGCATACAGCATAAAATTTATTTTAATTTTTATAAATTTCAATTTTTTTAAATTTTATAAATTTCAATTTATAAATTTATTTCAATTTTTATAAATTTTTTTAATTTTTATAAATTTAAAAAATATCAAACATGATATGTGTGTGTTGAAAATCAAAGAAATAATAAGTACAAATTTTACAATGGTGTTTACTGGAGATGAAAAAGAAAATTGATACTTAAATGTAATTTTTGCTGATATTAAGTCTTGGGTTGGGTTGTGTGTGTGTATGTGTCTGTGGGTGTGTGCATGTGAGGGAGAGGGAGAGAGAGAAAGAGAGAGAGAAGAGAGAAGGAGACAGAGAGGGAAAGAAGTTGTACAAGGACTAATGAAGACATTGTAATGAGCCAAGGTTACAGATAAGCCAGTTTTGGACAAGTGGTGTTAATTAAGAAGAGAAGGTAGAGAAATGAGAAGAAAAGACACCTAAGCAACCTAAGGGGTGAGATCAGGGAAGGCTTTCCAGAATCAAGGACATCTAAGCTGAACTTTGAAAAGCACCCAGGATTTATTCAGGTAAAAGAGCCATATAAGGGCCTTACAGAAAAAGTTAACATTCAAAGTCAAAAGGCCAGAAACTTTGGGCATACAGGATGCAAAGGTATTTGCTGAGCAGAAAGAGAACTAGGCCACTATGAGAAAAAACACTAAGGAAATATGCAGGTCCTAAGCCACATTTAAGAGCTCAACCACGGGGGTGGGGTGGGGAATAGAAGAGTGACTAGGGCAGGTTCTCCCACTTCCCATTCTGCCTGGCCAGTGAAACTCCATCAAAGCCACTACTCCATGCTCTAATCCCAACTCCAGGTTACAAAACTCTAGGGGCAATTCTGTCTGCATTGTCCCCTCTATTTCAATATCCCCCATATGTCATGTAATATGTGTATAGCAACTTTTTTTGCAACAAATGCAAAGAACTGTATACATGCCACTTAACATAATAATGACTCAGTCCATTGAAACTTCAGAAGGAGATGTTGAACTCCAGATGAGGACTGCAGAACATCACTCTAAAATTCTAGTTCTCTGAGATGGGAAGGTTGCCGAGACAATTAGGTGGAATACATGCAGTTACTTTCCTCTGGGGTCTAGACAAATGAGGAAGCTCAGCAAACCCACTGCCATGAGTCAGATGGTCCAGTCTCTAAGGAGCCCTCAGGTTGGTGGCAGAGAGCAGCTGATGACCAGATCTGAGATCCTGCCATATCTAGAGGCCACTTCATAGTTCACCTGTGTTCTGAATCCCAACCCTGCCACATCCTAGCCTATGTGTGATCATAGGGCACTGTGCTCACAGTTGGTGACATCCCAGGATGACATTCAGGTGGACTCTGGTTTGGAGCACAGGCTTCAACATGAAACTGAGTCACTGTGTGGAAGGGAATGGAGATTACATCCTCACTCACAGAGCCAGGTCCTGCCATCGCATCATCTGGTACCTGGTCTCCGATCTCAACAGCTCTGCTCATTTGATGAATGAAAGAGTTAAAGTACCTGGTGTTCCTTCCTTAGTGGCCCTAGTACTGGTCACTTATGTTTCCTCTTGCCTTGACATATTTGCTACCTAGAGTTAGAGGGCAGCAGGTGTCCCTCAGTTCTAGCTTAACCCTACACAAAAGTCCCTCTTTGTCCCCTGAGAAACAATGTTTTCTGGTCTGCTTAAATGTGATTACCATAACTGATTTCTAAATTTCAAAAGTATTTCAAGCCATTACGAGTAAATGTCTTCAATTTTATAATCAAAGGTTGTGAGAATATAGCTCAAAATTTATCATTTGCCTTACTGTCTAAATGTGCTATAATGCCTCTGCTCTGGAAAGTGAGGGATGCCAAACAGGTGTCTGGAGAGAAAGAGACAAAATGGCTTTGTCAGCTACTGCCCTCTGGAGCAGTAGACTTGGGTCAATGTCTCCCTCCCACTACAGGACAAATGGGAGGAGCTCATCAGCCAGGACTCCCATCTGGAGATCTTTGAACATGTCTCCTTGATGACCCTGGACACCATCATGAAGTGCGCCTTCAGCCAGCAAGGCAGCATCCAGACAGACAGGTCTGTGATGATCCTGCAGCTGCAGGCTTTTTGTTTCTATCAACTGATATGGACTCAGTGGAGAGGCAGTTCAGGCAGTAGTGAGGCTCACCAACTCAAAAAGCAAGAATCTGTCCAGAGCTGCTGACCATGAACAAATTGCAGTCCAGACCAAAGCTTGACTCACCCACAGATCCCTATTCCCTGGCATAGGCTCATTCCTGTTGGTTCATATCACTTCTTTGTTTGTTTTTTTAAATTATATTATTTTTGTTCAATTACAGTTGTCTGCATTTCCCCACCACCACTCCCCATCATCCCAGCCAAATCCAACTCCCTCTCTTCCTCCACCCTCCCTTTGGTTTTGTCCATGTGTCTTTTATAATAGTTCCTGAAACCCCTTCCCCCCACTAGACCCTTTCCCCTCCCCTCTGGTTACTGTCATATTGTTCTTAATTTTAATGTCTCTGGTTATATTTTGCTTGTTTCCTCTTTTGTTGATAATGTTCCACTTAAAGGTGAGATCACATGGTATGTATCCCTCAAGGCTTGGCTTATTTCAGTTAGCATAATGCTCTCCTGTTCTATCCATGCTGTTGCAGGAGGTAGGAACTCCATCTTCCTCTCTGGTGCCTAATATTCCATTGTGTAAATATAGCATGATTTTTCGATTTATTCATTTACTGATGGGCAGTTAGGTTGCTTCCAGCACTTGGCTATTATAAATTCTGTTGCTATGAACATTGGGGTGCGTAGGTTCTTTTGGATTGGTGTTTCAAGGTTCTTAGGATATAATCCCCCAGTGGAATTGCTGGGTCAAAAGACAGTTCCATTTTTAGTTTTCTGAGGAAATTCCATGCTGTTTTTCACAGTGGTTGTACCAGTCTACATTCCCACCAAGAGTGCACTAGGGTTCTCTTTTCTCCTCATGCTCTCTAGCACTTGTTTGTTGATTTGTTGACAATGGTCATTCTGACCTGTGTGAACTGGTATCTCATTGGAGTTTTAATTTTCATCTCTGATAACTAGTGATGCTGAGTACCTTTTTCTATGTCTCTGGGCCCTCTGTATGTCCTTCTTGGAGAAGTGTCTGTTCAATTCTCTTGCCCACTTTTTAATTCGGTTTTTTTCCTTCCTGAATGGAGTCATGTGAGTTCTTTATATATTTTGGAGATCAAATGCTTTTCCGAGGCATCATTGGCAGATATGTATCTCCATATACTTGGTTCTCTTTTAATATTTTTCTTTAGCCATGCAGAAGCTTTTTAATTTGATGAGGTCCCACTTGTTTACACTTTCCTTTATGTTCCTTGCTTTAAGAAACACATCAGATTTCCGCCAAGATGGAGGTATAGGTGGAAACATTGTGCCTTATCACACAACCATGTTTAAAGATAACAAAGTTTTAGGACAGCAAATATGCAGCTGTAACACAGAAAATTAAACTATTGAAATCTGACAACAAGGAACCCTTCAGCTAGAGCGGTAAGAGGGGTAGAGCCAGTGGCTGGTGGATCTGGGTTGGGCAGGAAAACTCGGCCAGACCTACCCAGGCACGCGGTTGGTGGTTGGCAGATCCCAGGCATGGGGCTGCAAAGGGTAAACCCAGTGAGGGCACAAGGCAGCAGGCTGATCGCGGTAACACATTCGTGTGCAGATAAAACACTGAAGGAGCGAGCAGGGAGACGGATTGCTCAGGCCCCAGTGGCGGGAAGCAGCAGGGAGGACGGCCATGGCCCCGCTCTGACCCTGCCCCCACATACAGCTTCACACACCAGTGACCTGGGTGTCCCTGCCCTTGTGAACACCTAAAGCTCCTCTCCTCATATGTAAGGGGCACGAACAGACCAAACATGGCTAAAGAAGAACTCAAAGCCCCAGAGTCCATAACTCTAAGCAACCGAGAAATAGCCAAAGTTTCAGATGCACAGTTCAAAACACTGGTGATCAGGATGCTCACAGAACTGGTTGATTTTAGTCACACAAATTAGAGGAACATATGAAAGCTAAACTAATTGAAATTTTAAAAATGCACAGGAGGGACTTCCGCCAAGATAGAAGCATAGGTGGATATGCCGTGCCTTCTCACACAACCAAGTTTAGAGACAACTAAGTATTAGCAACAGAAAACACAGCCAGATCACCGAAAATTGAACTTTTCAGAAGTCTGTTAACAACAAATTCTTCAGCCTGACCAGTAAGGGGCGAAGTCAGCAGCTGGTGGAGTGGGTTGCACAGGAAAACTCAGTCAGATGGACTCAGGTGTGCAAAATACAGGCCCAGGGTTGGACCTAGTGAGCGACCAAGAGAGCGACCATGGGAAAACAGTGAGGGACCAGGGCTGCGTGTTGACTGTGGTCACACATTTGTGCGTGGATAGACAAGCGAGGGAGTGGGCGATTGGACCAGGAACCAGCGGGTCCCCACAGCAAACGGCAGGGAGGGGGCCGCCATTTCCCTGCTCTGACCCCATCTCCACATACAGCATCATAACCCAGCGACTCTGAGTGGCCCGGCCCTGGTGAACCACCTAAGGCTCTGCTCCTCACCCAGCTGCACAAAACAACAGAGGGTGCCGCCATTTCCCCGCTCTGACCACACCCCTACATGCAGCATCACAACCCAGCGACCTGGGAGTCCAAGGCTCCGCTCCTCACACTTAAAAGGTGCAAACAGACCAAAAATAGCTCAAGAAGATCTCAAAGCCCCACAGCCTATAAATCTAAGCCATGAAGAAATAGCAAAACTCTCAGACGCACAGTTTAAAACACTGGTCATCAGGATCCTCGCAGAACTGGTTGATTATAGCCACAAATTAGACAAATATATGAAGGCAAAACTAATTGAAATGAATGGAATTGCACAGGAAACCAATAGCGATGAAAAGGAAACTGGGACTCAAATCAATGGGTTGGACCAGAAGAAGGCAAATAATGGCCAAACAGAAAAGAGTGAAGAAGCAAGAATTCAAAGAAATGAGGAGAGTCTTAGGAACCTCCAGGACATCTTTAAATGCTCCAACATCCGAATTATAGGGGTACCGGAAGGGGGAAAGGAACAGCTGCCAGTGCAAAACTTATTTGAACAAATAAGAAAAGAGAATTTCCCCAATCTGGCAAAGGAAATAGACTTCCAAGAAATCCAGGAAGCTCAGAGAGTACCAAAGAAATTGGACCCAAGAAGGAACACACCAAGGCATATCATAATTACATTAACAAAGATTAAAATGAAGGAGAGAATCCTAGAAGCAGCAAGAGATAAGGGGACAGTCAACCTACAAAGGAGTGCCCATCAGACTGTCAGCAGATTTCTCAAAAGAGACCTTACAGGCAAGAAGGGGCTAGAAAGAGGTATTCCAAGTCATGAAATCCAAAGACCTACAACCAAGATTGCTCTCGAGCAAAACTTTCATTTAGAATGGAAGGACAGATAAAGTGCTTCTCAGATAAGATCAAATTCAAGGAGTTCATCATCACCAAGCCCTTATGATATGAAATGTTAAAGTGACTTATCTAAGAAAAAGAAGTTAAAGAAACATGAACAGTGAAATGACAGCAAACTCACAGTTATTAACAACCACATCTAAAACAAAAGAAATCTAAAAGGATAACTAGATCAGGAGCAGAAACATAGAAATGAAGATCTCAAGGAGGGTTAGCAACAGGGGAGTGGGAGGAGAAGAAGGGGGAGAAGATACAGAAAATAAGTAGCAAAGACAGTAGATAGAAAATAGATGGAGGGGGGCAAGAATAGTATAGGAAATATAGAATCTAAAGGACTTGAGACACATGGTCATAAACTAAAGGGGGGGAATGGGGACGGGGAGGCAGGGTGGAGGGGAATGAAGGGGGGAAATAGAACAACTGTAATGGCATAATCAATAAAAATAAATAAATTAAAAGAAAAAATGCACAGGAAACCAATAGTAATGGAAAGGAAACTGGGACTCAAATCAAGGGAGTGGACCAGAAGAAAGGAAAAAATGACCAAACAGAAAAGGATGAAGAAACAAGAATTCAAAAAAATGAGGAGAGCCTTAGGAACCTCCAGGACATCTTTAAATGCTCCAACATCCAAATTATAGGGGTACCAGAAGGGGAAGAGGAACAGCCACAAGTGGAAAGCTTATTTGAACAAATAATAAAGGAGAATTTCCCCAATCTGGCAAAGGAAATAGACTTGCAGGAAATCCAGGAAGCTCAGAGAGTACCAAAGAAGTTGGACCAAAGAAGAAACACATCAAGGCACATCATAATTACATTAGCCAAGAGTAAAATGAAGGAGACAATCCTAGAAGCAGCAAGAGATAAAGGGACAGTCACCTACAAAGGAGTTCCCATCAGACTGTCAGCGGATTTCTCAAAAGACACCTTACAGGCAAGAAGAGGCTGGAAAGAAGTATTCCAAGTCATGAAAGACAAGGACATTCATCCAAGATTGCTCTATCCAGCAAAGCTTTCATTTAGAATGGAAGGACAGATAAAGTCCTTCTCAGATAAGATCAAATTCAAGGAGTTCATCATCACCAAGCCCTTATTATATGAAATGTTAAAGAGACTTATCTAAGAAAAAAAAGACAAAAAAGATGAACAGTGAAGCGACAGCAAACTCAGTTATTAAGAACCACACCTGAAACAAAGGCAAACTAAGAGGACAGCTATATCAGGAGTGAACCATAGAAACGAAGATCACATGGAGGGTTAGCAACAGCGGAGTGGGAGAAGGAGAAGGCAGGAGAAGGTACGAAAATAAGTAGCATAAAGGGTTGGTAGAAAATAGGTAGGGGGGAGGGCAAGAATAGTAGGGGAAATATAGAACCTAAGGAACTTGAGACACGTACTCATAAATTAAAGGGGGGAATGGTAGGGGAAGGGGTGTGCAGGGTGGAAGAAAACGAATGGGGAAAATAGCACAAGTATAATTGCATAATCAATAAAATATATTTTAAAAAATATGAACAGTGAAAGGACAGCAAACTCACAGTTATTAACAGCCACACCTAAAACAAAAGCAAACTAAGA